GTGTATAATTAAAAGTCAATTTATTAACAACAAAAACTTAACAAAAATCACTGAGGTCTGTCTCTCGGCTCGGTCGTACTTGAAGTGACTTCGCCCTCCAGACGACGTGACCTCATCCCTAATAAACACTATAGATCCCATGAGTGGGGATATTCGGAGAAATGGATATTAGGCGTTAAGCACGAAGAAAAACAGATGCCTCGCTGCATCTTCGCTTTCAAACCTCGCCTAATAAACACGGCTATCGCCACTAAACGAATCCCCATTTCCTGAATTATTTAACTAATAACGAAATATCTAAAGCACGTTGAAAACTTAAATTTGTATGATCAGTGACAACCACTTTGCCATCAGTCCGCATAAACGCATAGACAGTAAGATACAGGAATTGCCATCAGAGTTTAGTTTTACCTCTGAACACGAAGTAACGTAGAATATGAACCGTCGTAGGTAGCCCACAAATTGGGAATACGGGAGTGTCGCATTTCTGAGGACGACAGTGCCTCCAGTATCTTTCAATTTGAAACGCGCCCGAGCCAAATTGTCCCTATTGGCGAAACGCTGTAGAGCTAAGAAGATGATAAGTGGCAGCGACAGATGCGAGTAACGAAACGAAACTGGCCGGGAGCCAAGGCGTGCTTAACCGCGTCCCAGGATGATCCCCGGGGCATCCGACGTCATAAATGTAGCCGCGTTGATAATGCTCGAGAGAATCCCATTAACTAGAATTATTACGTTTAACGAGCAATCTGCAATGCACGTTCCTCCCCATTCAATTATCTCGCGAAATTTTTCCACCCCTCGTGAATTTAACATGTGAAAGAGAAGCCGTTCTCGAAAAATTAATAATCATTTAGGGGAGGAATTGCGGTGGGACAGCCGAGGGGTGAAAACTGATTTCATATTTAAACGTCGTCCCATCTTCACTGCTTTTATCTTTTCTTAAATTTCCAACGGGATAAAAGCTGTGCTCGGTCTAAAAAGCGAAAGATCATTTAGGATAAAAGATTGTGAAAGGACAATAGTCTGAGGTTGATTTTCGATCTGAATGTTTCAGCGCACGTAGCGAAATTCCGTTTGAAATCACACGTGGCTTTTCATCTTATCGTGCGCCTTTGAACGCCGGAGATGAATTCTTAAGCGAGGAGAGGAGACATCTCAAACGTTGCTGGAATTCGTGGAGGAATGCGACAGAGGAAGACCAGATATTTTACACTAGATTTCGAATGAACGTTTCGCGGAAATAACAATGAGAATCAGCAGCGCTTTTTGTAACCGATCCATTAATCCATTAAAAAAATAAAGTGAATTTATGGATGTTGAATTACTTTCCTCCTATCCATTAACCAATGAAATCCTTCCATTATTACGACTATTCAATCTGTTCACTAATTTAAAAAAAAAAAAAAATGAACCATTACGTTTCCCTCTAATTAATTCGTGAAGTAATTTGCAAACCGCACTAATAATTTAACGAGCCAAATAAATAACCGCATAATTATTCGGGGAACCGCAGCATGGTTACAAAATTCAACGTCAGCAATGGAAAACCATGCAACTGAAACCGAACTGAAAATTCGTTCGAACAATCACTATTCTCAGTATTCTATGTTTATTCCTGATTAATTACGCGTTTCGTAGCTCGAGCCAGCATACGCGTGTCGGTTTCAGTGAATACAAAACTTGACCCATTGCCAGACGAAACAATTTATAGTTCGAATTAAATTATGAATTTTAGTTTA